TCCAGCATTTACTGTTGATTTTTTTTTTTTGATGATGGCCATTCTGACAGGTGTAACATGATACCTCATTGTAGTTTTGATTTGCATTTCTCTAGTAATTAGTGATATTGAGCATCTTTCCATGTGCTTTTTGGTCATCTGTATGTCTTCTTTGGAGAACTTTCTATTTAGATCCTTCACCCATTTTTTGATTGGGTTGTTTGGTTTTTTTTAATATTGAGCTGCATGAGCTATTTGAATATTTTGGAGATTAATCCCTTGTGTATCACTTCATTTGCAAATATTTTCTCCCATTCTGTGGGTTGTCTTTTCATTTTGTTTATGGTTTCCTTTGCTGTGCAAAAGTTTTCAAGTTTAATTAGGTGCCATTTGTTTACTTTTTTATTTTCATTACTCTAGGAGGTGGATCAAAAAAGATCTGGCTGCGATTTATGTCAGAGACTGTTCTGCCTATGTTTTCGTGTAAGAGTCTTATAGTATCAGGTCTTACATTTAGGTCTTTAATCCATTTTGAGTTTATTTTTGTGTATGGTGTTAGAGAATTTTCTAATTTCATTCTTTTACATGTAGCTGTCCAGTTTTCCCAGCACCACTTATTGAAGAGACTGTCTTTTCTCCATTGTATATTCTTGGCTCCTTCGTCATAGATTTGTTGACCATAGGTGCATGGGTTTATCTCTGGACTTTCTTTCTTCTTCCATTGATCTATATTTCTGTTTTTGTGCCAGTACCATACTGTTTTGATTACTATAGCTTTGTATCAGTAGTATAGTCTGAAGTCAGGGAGCCTGATTCCTCCAGCTCTGTTTTTCTTTCTGAAGATTGCTTTGGCTATTTGGGGTCTTTTGTGTTTCCACACAAATTGTAAGATTTTTTTGTTCTAACAACTATCCTTTCTCTAAGGAGAGCAAAATGGTGCTCATCTCCAAATCGTGTAAAGTAAAATGGGAACATGGAAATGGAAACATAAGAAAACAGAATGGGAAAAGAGGGGGAAAATATTTTAAATGATTTCAAGAAAACCAGTCTTTAGTTTTCTTGAGATATAATATATACACAATTCACCAATTTTAAGCATAGACTTCAATTAATTCTGACATATGTGAACAGTTGTGTAATCACTATCACACATATCATTTCCTTTACCCCAAAAAGTTTCCTCATGCCCCTTTGCATTCAGTCAGCTTCCCTTAGCCTCAGCCTCTGACAATCACTTTCTTTCACACTAGTTTTGCCTTTCTAGAATTTTATATACATGAGATCATACAGTATGTAGCCTTTCCTGTTTAGCTTCTTCAAGGAAACCAGTCTTCTGCTGAAGGTATGAAAGCAGCTGACAGGTTAGGAAAGGCAAGGAAAATAACAAAGTTCACCAGTCCAAGTGCCCATCAACTTTGGCTTCATCCTAAGTAATGATTCCCAAGAAAAAAATTGAGTTTTGTGTGCTAGTTATATTTTTCTAAAACTCATTAAAAATAAATACATAGTGCTTCCCTGGTGGCGCAGTGGTTGAGAGTCCGCCTGCCAATGCAGGGGACACGGGTTCGTGCCCTGGTCTGGGAAGATCCCACATGCCGTGGAGCAGCTAGGCCCGTGAGCCATGGCCGCTGAGCCTGAGCGTCTGGAGCCTGTGCTCCACAACGGGAGAGGCCACAGCAGTGAGAGGCCGCAGAAAAATAAAATAAAGTAAATACATAATAATTGAAATAAAAATGCATATCTGTGTACCACTGATATGTACCACATACTACCATCAGTGATAAAAACTCTCAGGAAAACGCTGCATGAAAATATCTTGACAGTCTTTTATAGTCCTAACAGTCTCATTCTCTCAGTCATTGATTGTGGCCGTTGAGTCTAAAAGTGGCCATCAGCAAAATTTATAAGTAATTATGACATCCAAATCCCCACTCATAGCATCATAACATGTACACATTTTCCTTACTTTGCCCAGGAAAATAGTTGGTTAGAAGAGTGTAGCACAGTCAGACCACAAGACTATAGAAAGTGTACCAGAACATTTTGTAATGGAAGGTCTATGAACAATCCATGTATGTGTGCTAATTCTTCCTGTATGTGGGTTACATTTACTCTATCATTTCTATACTTTTAGACTCAGACTCAGCAGTTTTCTGTGCGTCTCTATGTGATTGTAGAGGACCCAGCAAACTGAGTCAGGGGTGGGCAGCGCTGATAATCAGATTCACAAAGACCCATGTCTTTCTGTAGATGAGACCTTTTCCTTACAAAATTAGAACTCTGGGGTGTCCCCAAAGGGCCATGGAAGTTTGAATAAGAAAAAGGTTTAAGTTTAATTTAAAAATTCCTCTTTTACATTTGTCTTCGTGACAGCTTTTGCTCCTTGGTTAGGCTAGAGAAAGTTATGTAGGGTAATGGATAGGACCATTGTCAGGCGTTCCGGGTGGGTGAGTCCCACACCTACTTCTCCAGTGTTATTACTGAGGTGAACTAAGGTTTGATTAGACTATCCGAGGCAACTTTGAAATACAAAAGTGTACCAAAGGCTGTCTGGAAGGGTGTGTGGAAACAGGATGGTGCAGGCAAACCCACTTTGATCAAATGTATGAGTCACAGGCCTTTCATAGCTCTCTGAGGAAGATAGACAAGGAGCTGGATGCCCAATTCACCAAGCTTGACGGGCTGTTTGGTAGGAGTGGCAGATTAATCCAGGACTTTGAACAAAGTGAGGGGGCCCATTTGAGTCTTTGTTTTCGTCATTATTTGTCAGGTTGCGGGGACCTATGAGAAACAGTTTCTCAGATCTTTTATATGCTACTAGATAAACATACTAAATGCTAGCTGTTAAACTGTCCTTCAGGGGAGGCCATTTCAAAATGAAACCTTGACTTTGTATTTGGTGATAATTTCATAGTTGTAAATCCTGACTAACTCAAAATTGTTCCTGCTTAACCATGTAGTTACATGTAGAGTGTGTCTAATTCTACCTTAGACAAATGGTCATTTTCTATCGGTAACATGACTTCATTTTCCTCTCTGGAGACTGCTGTGAGGGTTTAAGCTGCTAATATGGGTGCAGGCTTTATGAGTTTCTGCGTTTAACAGGCAATGCCAGTGTAATATTAACATTTTTACTTGCACTGATATTAAGGCTTTTCACCTTAAAACTGTAACTTCAGCTCAAAGAATGCAGTTCAAATTTTATTTTGCTTTTTTAAAAAAATGCTACCATAAACAAAGCCCTCTTTGTAATCAGAATTCTTTTTTTTTTTTCCTGCATAAGGTGCATAGAACAATAGTCAGTTATATACATACATGGATTCCAGGAAGCTAAGCGAAAAGCATTTATCATTTAGGTAAAGTAGGTTATAGAAATTTTAAATGAATGAAGGAAAAAAAGCTCCAAATTAAGAGGAGCAAAAAGGATTATTTTTCTTTGAATGGCACTGCTTAAACTAATATAACAGAATCTCCCCTAATAAAATTTTTTATATTTTAATTATTTAAATAGTTTTAAAAGTAATTTCCCCTAGTAAACACACGTAAGGTCAACCAAAAAAGCCTCTTTTGTCTTAAACCTTGTTGTTGAAAATAATTCTAAATGCATTAGCATTTTTCACTACCTTGGTGAGTGCCTAGGGATATCTCACTACTTCTGTGATCTTTGCTTGTACTGCATCTACCTATAGATGGAGGCATTTGTCAGGAATCTGTACTGACTCCGTGACATTGTCTGGACTGAAGTTGCTTTTAATTGAAGCGGTGTCAGTTTTCGGGCAATGAAACTCTCAATTCACAGCCTCCACCCCGACCCCCCACCCCCATAAAATGAGACTTTCACTAATTTGAATGACAATCTGTAAAGTTCCCGTACTGGTTTTCATTAAATCGCTTTTTCCCAGCTACTTGTGTTGTATCTTGTAAAACCTAAATCTTAAAAAAAAAAAAAAAAAGCAGCTATTGATCATGGGGACAAAGGGAATCTTAGTTTTACACAAAAATGCAACCACGTATGAGAACTGCGCAAATAGATGGTCCGCATTTGGCTGAAGTCATCCGACGTCGTTTCACTCGCTTTTTTATTTCCAGGTTGCCAACCCGTTTCCCAAGATTGAGCGATTACAACGATGACAAAAGTCAGTCTCACACCCTGTCAAAGACTTGGCTCGTTGCCGTTTACTTCTCGTCAATATTAGATTCAACTAGGTCTTGTCCTTTGATTATCTGTGAGGATTGAATTCAACCCCCGACTTTGGGCGCAGTCTATTTTCTCGGGCAAAGTCTAAACATCCTCAAAGGATCAAGAGCTCAGCCATAGAGCCGGAGGAAAGCGGAGTCGATGCTTCAGATTAAAGGGGGCCCCCAGACCTATTCCTCACCGCCGCTCTTCAGATTTTAAAGCGAGGGTTAGGAGGACCAGGAGGGACACGAGGGATGGAGGCAAAAGGCTCGATCCTTAATCCGAGCCAGAGACAAAGGTGAGTACGTGCGCGAGGGGGACGGAGAGACGGGCAGAGGGAGGCTCCTTGGCCCCTAGCCGGGTGGCGTGACTTCAAGAGGACTCAGAAAACGGGCCAGGACTGGGTAGGATAGGAAGGTGCCAGCGGGGCGGGCGAACCGGCTAATCGCAGAGGTGGCGAGGCTGGGAACGCCCCCTCCCGGCCCCGCCCCACTGCGCCGGGCAGGGAAACGAAAGCCAAGCCGGCGCCCGGGTCAAGGGCCGGGGCGGCCTCGCAGCCTCAGGCTTCCCGGGATGGGCGTCTCCGAGAAGGGAGCGTGCCTCACGTCCTACCCGCCCCGCCCCCTGCGCGCTGCGCACGCGCGGCCGCGCCCCGCCCCTCGCGTCCCCGCCAGGGCGATGGGGCGGGGGCGGGGAGTCGGGGTGAGGAGGCCGCCGGAGTCCCTAGACTGCGAGCGCGCGCGCCGCCTCCCCCGCCGCGTCACGGCTCCCAGGCCTGCCCTCCTCTGGTCCCTCCTCCCGGCTCCGTTTCCCCCTCCTCTCACCCTCCCTCTCCGACAGAGCGGTGACTTAAGCAACGGAGCGCGGTGAAGCCCATTTTTCTCCTTCCTCGCAGCCGCACCGGGCAGCCCGCGGCGCGCGGCCCCTACACTCCGGCCCGAGATGAATGCTGCGGCAGAAGCCGAGTTCAACATCCTCCTGGCCACCGACTCGTACAAGGTAGAAGCTCGGGGCGGGGGCAGGTGACGGAGGAAGAGAGGGCCCGTCGGGGACCAGCGCGAGGCTGCGGGGCAGGGGCGGCCGGGCTGGGGTCGTGGCGCGAGGCGGCCCCGAGGGAAGGCGCGGTGGCGGCGGCGGCGACTAGGGGCAGGTGAGGCTGGCGCCGCAGTGGGGAGGAGGCGGATGGAGGAGGGATGGAGGGATAGACGGCAGGAGGCGGGGCCTGGGGGTGCGTGGTTGGGGGGGCGCGGCGAGGGGCTGAGGCGGGCCCGAGCTGGTGCCGCGCGCCTGCTGCCCGGGGCTCGGGGCGGCTCAGCTCGGCTCAGCGGGCCGGCGGCCGGGGTGGCTGGGGCGTCACCGACCGAGCTCACGCCTTCCGCAGGAGCACGGCCTTTTGGCCCCGGGCCGGGCTGAGCGAGGGCTCGCCCGAGGAGCGGGTCAGTTAGGTAACGGCCCCTGGGGTTCCACGGTGGAAAGACTGAGCCGGGTTTGAGAAGTGGGGTTTCCCCCGCGGAGCTGAGTCGAGCGCGCTCACGCCTTAGCCGGCAGGTACGCCCCTTCCCGAGGAACGGGTGGGCGAAGTCCTAGTAGGGGTGCCAGAGCAGCCAGCCACGTTCCTGTGCCTGTGGCCCGGCTGGATCCCCCGTCCCATTCCACTGGGCTCCGTTTCAGACTCCCTTGCTCCTGGTGATCACTCACGCTCCGTACCTCTTCTTGGAAAGGCCGATCTGCCCTTATTCCGTTAGGACCACTGTGAGGTTTCTGAGAAAAGGAAAGTGAAACACGAGGTGTTAAAGGAACTGTAGTTAACCTTGGAGAACTTGTTGAGAGAGAAGCGACACAACATTCTCTTACTATGGCTATTGGACGCTTGCATGTATAGCTGACCCGTTAATTTTATTTGAAACTCACACACATTAGTAAAGGGAAGAGTGATTAAAGAGAAATCCGGCAAATATCCTTTCCCCTAGTTTCCAAATTATATGAAATAAACTGGATTATACTTTGCTAACAAGCTTTGTTAGCCAGGACACCTAAAAGATGACATGTCAGACCAGAAACTTCACTTTCGCAGAATAAATTTTCGTTTTTACTTGAGCAGCATGGTAGTTTGGAATATAGTGATTAAAGCATAATGTTTTCAGATTTTGGTTTTTGTTGTGGTTTTTGTTGCTTTTTGTTTTTTCTTAAATATTCCAATAAAGTATTTTGGAGAATCCCATTTTACTTAAGTTCTCTGTTGAACTTTCCTTCCCAGCTGGTTTAAGATTCTACTTATGATAATTTAGGTGGGTTATTATTTAAAGTAGAACCAAGTTTCTTTAACAAGTGGTCTTTTAAATGGAATTTTAAAGTGGAAATCTACACAATTGCAAGGATATCATAGTGCTATCAAGGGTATTTTTACTTGTGCTCCTCTTGTGGTCTCTTAGTTCAATTATAGTGTTTTGAGTATTTTTAATAGTGATTTTAGAATGGTCTCATGCATAGTTTTCTAGAACTTTATCCTTAACTAAATCTTTAAAATAATTTTCAGATTTTTTAATGTAGTAACTTATTTTATTGAAAATGGGAAATGTAAACGGAGGTTGATTGGTCCAACTTTAAAAAAAAACAAAACAGACGTTTAAAGTATATATTCAGGGCTTCCCTGGTGGCACAGTGGTTAAGAATCCGCCTGCCAATGCAGGGGACATGGGTTTGAGCCCTGGTCCGGGAAGATCCCATGTGCAGCGGAGCAACTAATCCCATGGGCCACAACTACTGGGTCTGCACTCTAGAGCCCACGAGCCATAGCGACTGAAGCCCGTGCGCTTGGAGCCCATGCTCTGCAGCAAGAGAAGCCACCGCAATAAGAAGCCCGCGCACCACAACAAAGGCCCAACACAGCCAAAAATAAATAAATACAATAAATAAATTTAAATAGATAGATATTCATTTCTGTAATCTCATACTTTATTATACATGATGATGAACTAAGGAAATAGGTAAATGTGGTTGTTTCTTCTGTTTTTATCCTGGGTTCTTGTTATAAATGAAAAGGACACTTAAGTGTTAACCATTTATATTTTCAAAATGGTTTAAACATTACAAAACAGTGTGCAAGCTTCTTTCGTTTGTAGTTCCTCTAGCCATTATATATAAGGAATGTAAACTGCTTTAACATCAATTTCCTGGGATGAAAGGTAAGAGTAGTTACCTTAAAGTTTTCTAATCTGCTAGCAAGGCATACTTAACAACACTATCAGAATTTGCCTCTATTTAATAAAGTTTATTCCTGTACATTTTCGGGTCAGACTGGTGTATTTTATCCCATTTCAAATATAAAAACTTTTAAGAAGATTATCACCTTCATAAGATATTTCATTTCCCTCCCTTCCCCACAAAAAACCCTCAAGAGGATTCAGTCAGGATGATATGTTTTATACCAGTGGTTTACAGCAGTACAGTAAAAGAAGTAGTGTATTGCACACTCACAATTTAGTCGTTTAAGTTTCATTTTCCTTACACTTTTAGTGGTCCTTATAGCCTCTTTAGCATTTTCGGCTTTTTATCTTCTTAGATGACGAGGAGACAGAAATGGTAATCTTGAGTCTAGAAGTAGTGAAATTACACTTTTATTAGGAAATTACATGAGAATGTTACATGCATATCCTTATCAGTACTTGCATACTGTTGGCCAGTTAAAGTAGGGAGCTAACAGCTTTAGATGTATTGGTGGAAGAGAGGAGGATATTGTTGATTTATTTTTTCTAGAACTGAAGCAAGGATAGTTGGCTGTCTAGGCACTAGAGAAAGGTGTTTTGCAAGTAGATGGGATAGTGTCCAAGCGCATGACAACATGTGGGAATTTTGTTTTCAGTTGTATCCTTTCCAGAGGGATCAGGACAATTTGGGCCAAAGGAGAGGCATTTAAGATACATACTCATTTCTGTAATCTCATACTTTATTATACATATTGATGAACTAAGGAAATAGGTGAATGTGGTTGTTTCTTCTATTTTTATCCTGGGTTCTTGTTACAAATGAAAAGGACACTTAATCTTAAGTGTTAACCATTTATGTTTTCAAGATGGTTTAAAGTAAAATTATCTACTGTGTTATATTTACATTGTGCTAAGCCAGCTAGAGAAAGGTGCGTTTGGGCTGGCCTTAGCCATTGCAGTGCTTAAAAAGCATTTGGAACGTTTTTTTGTAAAAGAGACAGGTCATTTTTTTCAGTTATTTCTGGGATAGCCATTGATCAGTTTCTGAATAACCGGATCATTAAAAGATTCATTTCTGTTCTATTCTTCCTTCCCCTTCTATGTAGATAATGTTTGTAACAAACTACAGCAGAGAATCATTTTAACATTTCTGAACATTTTACCTGTTAGCAGATTAAAATGGATGATGTTGTCAATTGAGCCCTAGTTGGAAAAAATAATGTATAGCACAAGAAAGTCATCTGAAGCAATTTACAGTTTAAACCACATCACATGTTAGTTATGAAATGTGCTGTCCAGTGTGGGTTGCTTCTCAAAAGGTCATTTAAAAATGGTTATCTAGAACTCAGCACATTTTCGTGCATTCATTTAATAAATATTGGAGACCTACTACATATTATAAAATACAAAAGATGTCCCTTACAATCTAAGATGGGTGAAAGTTGATTTTAGAAAAGTTATAAGAGGCTGTATAATTCATGTATGATGATTAAGCACCCAAGTTAGCTTTTTTTAAAAAAGAGCTTGCTTCCTCATTAGTAGTGGAATAACAAATCTTAATTTGGGGCTTTTTGGAGGAAAAGATTTGGGGATAGATGAGAATCTTATGGGCAAGTTAGTCCTGCCTTGGACTTTTAGCTACGCAATGTCTTCCTCTGAGCTGTTCCTATTTTTCATAGTTGCTTCTCTTTCACCGCTTCTGAACAGGCACTTAAGTATGGTCACAGCAGCAGCCTAAGCCTTGTGAGACACGTGGTCCTGCTGCAGTTTGTATGTCAGAGAGTACCTGTTCATTCTTAGGATAGAGTTTTTCCAGTAAGTTTTATATTATAAATTATAGGAAAAACCCAGGCAACAGAAATAAAATCCTGCATGTAAATCATGAACATACCTCCTAGGAAGGTTGGATTAGGTCAGTAATGATTGTAGAGTATCTTGCAAAACAAAAATACCAGAAACTGGTATCCTTTTTGTCAGTTTATGAAATCTCTCTTAAAGGTGCGGCAAAAAAAGGTACAAGTTGCCAGGAACTCTGCCCGATTTAAGGGAAGAGGCAGCATAATGATGATGGCTGGTTTTACAATTTATCACCTTCACCAAAATAATGTAATCCAAAAATCCTTAAGTTGTATTTTGAAGTTATTACTTCAAAAGCCAAATAGCAATGAATTATTTTCTGGGGCAACAGAAGTCCAGGGCTTGGCAAATCTTGAATAATATTGAAAAGAAGAAAGAATCAGTTATGATTTTTGCTGTTTCTGGCACATCACCTTTGAAGAGGCAGAGAGTCTTAGCCAATGTAAGTGCCTCTTGTGAGTGCCCTTAGATATTACATAGGTAACATAGCTTAGTTTGTGACTTTGAGTCTGTTATTCCACGTGCTCTTCCGTACACATGGTGCTGTTAAAATGTTGGCTTGTGATTATTTCTTAGTGATTAACTGTAAAAGGTGGTTAGTAGTAGTTGCCTTTGGTCGTCTGATCCCATTGTGGGAGGAAAGCTCTTGGAAATATATCACGTCACCCATATGGGAAATCTAGAGAAGCTCAGGAGAAAATTATACTTTGCTGTCACAGAAAGATTCTATGCAACTTAAATATTTCTCATACCTCTCTTGAACTGTTATACAGGGATATCTGGGATTGCAGTTTTTAGAAGCTTATTTTTTCATGAAGTAAATCAACCACATAACTAACTGTGAAACTAAGTTTTATTAGAAGAGCTACATTTTCCTGTGTGCCTCTGTTCTTTACCACACATATATTTAAGTACTGGCAGTACTCTGTTAGTTGCAGGAAGGCTATGCCACTTGAGGAAACATTTTTAGGGGTAATGTTTGGTTTTTTTTCTCTTCATCTTATAAGTAATTTTAAATTTATTGTACAACTATTTTCTCTAGTGATGTAAGTCAAAGCAATGCTGAAAAACAACGTGATTTAAGGGCTCCCTTTTGGCAGGTCACTTTAATTTTGAATATTATGAAACTTTTTGTTAGTGTTTACTTAACATATTTAAAACTAAGCTCTTGATTTCCCTACCCAGTCCTTCCATGGCTTTCCCCATCTCAGTAAATGGCACCATTATTCACTCAGTTGCTCAAGCCAAAAATCTAGGAGACATTCTTAATTCCTTCCCCTCTTTATTTCCAAATCTAATCTATCAGCCTACTTCTCCAAAGATACTGAGCCAGTCTCTCACCTAACCTAGTCTTTGGCAGTAGCCTCTTAATGCTCTGTGTCCACTCTGGTCACCCCATAATCCATTCTCCATCTCTGCCAAGCTGATCCTTGTCAGATGTGAATCACATCATATTCATTCCAGCTTAAAGCATGCTAATGGCTTCCCACTGCACTTCAGGTAAAATTCAGGCTCCTTGGTAGCCTGTGAGCCTTACATGATCTTGTTGTCTGTGCATCTCTCTCTCTCTGACCTTACCATGTGCCTCCTCCCTATTCTCTAAGCACCAACCACAGTGGTCTTCATTCTATTCCGTCCCTGAAGTCAAGATATTTCCTATTTCCTCGTCATTAAATCTTGTTCACATGTTACTATCTCAGAGAAGTCTTCTTGGCCTCCTCTTTAGTCTCCCAGGCCCCTTCTAGTCCATCATTTTCTTTTAATTTTTCATAGCATCCATCTAGCTCAAATTATTTTGTTTATGATCTCTCAGCCCTCACTAGCCCTATGGGAGGAAGGACTAGTCAGTCTGTTTTACTTCCCCATCCTCAGCATCTGAAGCAGGGCCTGATACACAGTTGGTACAGACTATATATTTGTGAATGCAGGAACTATTTATAAAATAACAATTTATTGATTTGTATTTCTGCTATATCATCTCATTTTCTGGTGAAAGTTCCAGGGGACTCAGGGTGATAAGTTTAGCAGAAAGTAAAATGAAGAGGACAGTAAACCTAGCAAAACTAAAATTATCTATTGGCTATATTCTTAGAAAATATTTACTAAGAAGCTCTGTTTAAATTTTTTTCCCATTAAAACAATGTGTATATGCCAATATAAATAGATTTGAATAATACTATTTTATTCCTCTTTAAACATACTGGGTGTGAGTAGGTGGTTGATAGTAAATTATGTTTCATAGTTAATTGACGGAGAGTTTGCCTTACCTGACTTAGATTCTTTAGCTAAATTCTGAAACAGTTTTCTTAAGTTTCTCCAAAGAAGATTTTAGAAGTCATACTTCATTTCTAATTAAGCCTAGACAATTTTGTCTTTTTAATAAAACATTTGTTTTCAGAGAGGCATTCTGAATATTTATGCAAGGGTTTTAAGTACCATAATTAAAGAATACAACTGAAGCTTTAAAATTATAAACGTATTTAATTATTGTCCTGAACAGGAACTGTATTTGTATGATGGAAATTTTTTAATATACTTTTAGACCAAGATGGAGTTAAATGGCTTAGGGACAGTTTCCATTCAGCTTTTGGCTGCTTGGTCTACTCAGAAGATGAAAATAATTCATTTGCCTTCTAATATTTTTAAATCTGATACAGGAAAAGTAAATTTATAAAGATGCACCATTAAGTATCTGAACTGTAAAGAAGGTCAAACGTAACTGTTGAGACACAGCTATGAATCTGACTTTATTCAAATTTTACTTCATCGTGGTTGACTTTTCTTCCACCTCACTGCTTATTCCCACTAAGGGAATTGGAGTTATTTAGATTGTAAACTGGACATTTTCGTTTTTATATACATCTTGGGTACATTTTCAAGTGGTGATATCTTTTTCTAATCAGTTTCTTAAGTAGTTAAAGTAGTAGTCATTTATTACTATGGTATCGTTCATATGTATACATGTTTTTGCATTTTAGTGAATCGGCTAGTGGACTTAAGTGCTCTGGATTCTGTATTAGCTATTTCACTTAGCTACTTCTTAAATCTTAAACTTACACTGGTATCAGTCCCTGGGTTCTGACTTTTAAAAAACTGACATATACTTGTAGGTTTTGATGAGGCCTCCGTATACCTTGTAGTATATAGATATGTGTACCTGATCAAAACAGAAAGTTCCAGCTCTCTTACCTGACTTAGGCAATCAAACCACATATTAACATAAAGATTCACCTCCAAGATTACCTATGAGCTGCATCAGGGTGCTATTTTTATAGAGTTGCAATTTGCTTCTATTAGAAAGGAAACATATTTTAAAAACTTGTGACTTTTTTTCTCTCTCTCTGTATTCGTTTTAGAATTTTTGTGCAAAGCCACAAAGTTTCTTTAGGTTAAGACCAAGTTTTACTAGGATTGAGATTGTGCAGCCAAACAAGGAACACATTAGTTTTCCTAAACTTGAGATCAGAGCTAAACAGAAAAAATGGTTTATGTTCACAGTGGTCATCCATGAAACTTGGTCTGCAAAGATTTATTCCACCATTACCCTGACTCACCACCCTATCCTTAAGCTTTAAGGCATTATTATTCCTCTTCTTTCAAATGGGAAAATACACACTATTCTTCCAGTTATTTTTTATTGGTAAAATGTTGTAACCGTATTAAAATATAATAAAATTCAAATTATAATGAACACTTTTTTTTCTCTTAAAACAAAAATAGAAAAATTTTCAACAGTGGCTCTTACCCAGATTCATGGAAAAGAAAGTTGTGATAATGCCTCTTCGTATCTTTAAATTCATAAGGATTTGATGTTGCATTGGATAGGCATTTATTTCGCAATTCAGAGGTAATTTGAGAAAAAGAAAGATTACAAAACAGGATATTTTTTCCACTGCTGCTGCTATTGCTTTCATCCAGGTTTTCACAGTGTCATTATGAAGACTAGAAGGGGTCACTTTCAGTACCTCACTATACAGATGAAGCAGAGTCGTGAGAAGTCGTTGACTATTGACTTGTCAAGAGTTCCACACTTAAATAGTAACAGTACCAAATTCTGCTTTCAGTTCATTCTTTTATATCATGTGTTTGTCCCCCAGGCAGCTGCTTTTCTTTCCCGAATGAAGGCTGTTCCCCAAGAGTAAATGAGATCTTTCTTGGTATTTTTTTTCCAAGTGTCCAGTTTAGTGGCCTTGTACTTCCTTAAGTTCAGTCCGTTTGTTTATAAAATTTAATACTCTCCTGCGGTTTTGAATTTAAGATACTGAACTATTAAAAGTATCTTAATAAGCATGATACTTACTTTTTATTCCTTATAACCAGGAGAAGAAGCTGATCAATAGCAAATAAGTATAGTTTCTCTGGTTTTAAATAATTTCAAGCTCTTTTTATCATAATTTACATTCTATTCTTCTGGTATTTTCTAATTCAGGTATTTTCTCTTTCATATAGGTTACTCACTATAAACAGTACCCACCCAATACAAGCAAAGTTTATTCCTACTTTGAATGCCGTGAAAAGAAGACAGAAAACTCCAAAATAAGGAAGGTGAAATATGAGGAAACAGTATTTTATGGGTTGCAGTACATTCTTAATAAGTACTTAAAAGGTATTGTTTTTCCTAATATGTTTAAAACACTGCTTTTATATACCTCATCATAGTTTTCCTCTTATATTGTTGTATTATTTTAAGTACCTTTTTGAATAGTCTAATTTTGATTTTTTTTTTTTTAATTTATTTTTGGCTGCATCAGGTCTTCATTGCTGCACGCGGGCTTTCTCTAGTTGTGGCGAGTGGGGGCTACTCTTTGTTGCGGTGCACGGGCTTCTCATTGCGGTGACTTCTCTTGTTGTGGAGCACGGGCTCTAGGCACGCGGGCTTCAGTAGTTGTGGCTCACGGGCTCTAGAGCACAGGCTCAGTAGTTGTGGCGCACGGGCTTCGTTGCTCCGCGGCATGTGGGATCTTCCCGGTCCAGGGCTTGAACCCGTGTCCCCTGCCTTGGCAGGCGGGTTCTTAACCACTGCGCCACCAGGGAAGTCCTAGTTTGATATTTATTTAATTACCCTAACTATTTTAGGGGTTGTTTTGGAATTTTTAGAAATCTGTTAATTTGAAAGCATTAAATTTTATAATTTGACGTATGTGCTTGATGTTCTAAATATGACAAAGATTTTCTGAAACCAGTAAGATTGGGAATAAATTTAGAAAAGTGAATAATTTTCTGAGGCTAATCTGGTTTGTTAATAGACTTTAGTCATTAATTCAAAATAAAGGATTTGTTACTGACCTGGGAACTCATTTTGAATTGTGGTAGCAATTATAATTAGAATATGTTTTGCTAGTCAGTTTTACCTTAAAGGCCTATTTTTCAAAACTACCTGTAACGGTGGATTTAGTCTCAAATGCATTTTTTTTTTTAAGTTTTTGGCCGCACCCCACGGCATGTGGGATCTTAGTTCCCAGACCAGGGATCAAACCCTTGCGTCCTGCATTGGAAGGCAGAGTCTTAACCACTGGACCACTAGGGAAGTCCCTCAAATGCATTTTAAAGAAGAAAAAAATCCCTGAAATAATTTCTGTGCTTTCTTATTTGAAAGTCCATTTCTAGTCTTATTTTGTAATGGTATTTGGGGGGGGGGAAACAACGCCCAAGTTTTTTATACATTTTGGAAAATTTCATTTCTAACCTTTTCACATAAAAGTAATCTCAGAATTGAATACAGAATAACTTGAATTTTATGCAGATAATGACGTTTTTCTATAACCTTGGCAATTTTAAGATCAGATAGTTCAGATATGTTATACTATTGAAAACCTACTTGGATATCCAAAGCACTTCATTGCAACAAGATTACCCAAGATATTGTAAATGAGTTTACTAGCGATCTTATTTAGAGAAAGTTACCAAAGACTAATGTCACACTTCAATTTTCTACAGCTTAAAAACTTTATAAAATGTTATTAATTACAGCTAAAATATATTGTGTGTTATAGGCCAGCATTATTCTAAGTGCTTTAATTCAGATGTCTTAACTCATTTTGTCCTCACAACCACTCTAAAAGTAGGTACTGTACTATTATCTTCATTTTACAGATAAAGTTAGCTAAAAGTATATTTGGGGGGGCAAAAACTTAGGCATTGTAAAAATTATTGGATTATCAGCCCCAAAGACATCCTTTATGAATAAAGTGAGCAGATTCACCTGGAAAGCCAACTATCAAAAGCTTACTCTCAAATCTGAAGACTGTATAAATTAATAGAGATTTTTTAAAAATCTCCCAAAAGTTATTACTATTTTTTAAAAATACTATACATGTAATAATCTCTTCTATTGCAAATTTGCTTTTCAAATAAGAAATTAACATTTATGCTTAGAGCGAGTGGTTAGAAGTGCAAATTCCTTTTCTGACTCTGCTGTTGACTCTGGGTGAATCATTTAACCTCAGTTCTTGTTTTTTTAATCCACAGAATGGGCGAAATAGCTAGAGACATTAATCCTATGACAACTCAGCAACTCACAGCATGCCTTTAGAAATGTAAACAGGAGATGTTTATTTTTTTTAGGTAAAGTAGTGACCAAAGAGAAGATCCAGGAAGCCAAAGAGGTGTACAAAGAGCATTTCCAAGACGATGTCTTTAATGAAAAGGGATGGAACTACATTCTTGAGGTAAAAAATGGTTTCATGTTTCGACCTATGTATTTTGGTTTTGCTTTTAGTTCAGAATTTCTTGCCATGGAATTTGAATAGAAGATTAGACTGTACACAACACAGGTATTCAACCCTTGAACAACACAGGTTTGAATTGTATGGGTCCATGTACATGTGGAGTTTTTTCAGTAGTAGATACTGCAGTACTACACAATCTGCAGCTGGTTGAATCCGCAGATGCAAAATCACAGATGCAGAGGAACCACAGTTACAGAGGGATGACCATAAGTTATACATGGATTTTTGACTGTGCAGAGGAGGGTGGGTGCCTCTAACACAAGCACTGTACTAGGGTCAACTGTAATTATAACTCTTTTCTGTCTGTGACCCTATAAATATAATGGCTATTTAGACATTCTTGTGAAAAGTTAATGTTTAATTTTTTTTTTCCCTGGTAACACATCATTAGTACCTAAAATCTATAGCATATCTAAGTAATTTGTTGTAATATGTATTATAATTTAAATAACATTTTTCAGAAAGGTAATTTAATCCTTTCTTTGAAAATACATTATAATTAAGAAAGAGCATGATTATTTGGCAACTTGAAAATTTAAGCCTATTTTCTGGACTGTACGTTATCTAAGAAAATAGATGCTGTGAGTCTGTCACTATGCAATACTTCTAGGACATTTCCCTTACTGAATAGTTAGAAGAATGGTTTGGTGCAAATCTATGAAGTTAATTTTCATTCTTTATTGTACTGTAATATTCCTACCTAACATGTTTGGATTCCTTGCTTAAACTTTTGGGCATCCAAAGACATGGGAATTGAGTCATAAGTGTTGAATGTCCCCTGGTGGTTTTCTCTGTTACAAAGATAGGTTGGGAATGGGATCTATTGGCATCTTGCTATGTTAAGTGTTCATTATCTTTAAAATGAATGTCTTTTTCATTGTAAACTATCAAACACAAAGTAATTAGAAATACTTTAACTTTCCTGCCTGTATCGTAATATTGAATTTTACTGTCTGGTAATTACTGGTCTTTGAAGAAGTTGAGTAAGCACGCTGCTAGTTTTCCCATATCTTGAGTAAGGTCAGTAAAATATGTTGGCTAACATATTTTGATTATGTTGACTAACTCATTTGGTTGACACTTAACCCATTTGGTTTGTTGTGAGGATTATAGTTATAGGTAAGTTAAGTGCTGTGCTTAGTAGTAGAATTCTCAGTGGTCAGGGTGGTAAACCTTTTTATTTTATATTCAGAGAATCTTAGGGATTCATAGATTCCCTAGAGATAATCTTGTGTAACCCCTTTTACAAGCATGGAGTCTGAGACCTTGCGATTCTAAATGACTTGCCCACAGTTTCCTACCTGCTTTTGCATCCAGGCTAGGATTTTAAGGCATTATTCTTTCTGCTCTAACATGATTTTTTTTTAATCTAGTTACCTTGTCCCAAATCACATAAATAAACCTTACTAGCCAAAAGTTAGCCACAGCTTTTAACTTGAAAAAGGGGGAGGCGTAATTAAATATCTAGTAACATACCATGTAGCCACTATATCCTCAGCCTAATTTGGGAGAGAATTGTTGCACTTGGATATTGACTGCCAAAGCTCTAGAAAGTATACTTATGATTGGTCTGTCTACTACCAAAATGGTATCAGGTCTACTACCAGTATAGAGAAAACCTATTTAAGATTCTTCTACTGGCAAGGAGTGCTCTCTTTTTCTTTTTTGTTTGTTCATTTTGTTGTGCTCTCTAATAGCAGTCCATTATTTTATCTTTCAGTCTTTAGCCTTTCTTTTATGAAAATGACCTACTTAGAAGAAAGATAGTCCTCTTAGAATATGTTAGAATAAACTCTTTTTTTGGAAAGAATAGGAAAACAACTTTTTTGTTTCGAAATCAGTTTGAAGTTCTCTTCAAGAGACAAATTTTCTTAGCAGAAGTACTTTTATAGCGTAAAATTTAAAAATTAATGCTAGTGCTAAACTGTTAATCATTTTAGCTAATTTTATTTCAGGAGGATAAGGATATTCTGACCAGATTACTAGCAATATAATAAGATCTGCAATTGCAATTTCTATGACAGTAAGTTTAGCTTCTGTAAAATATAAAGAACCTTATTTAAACAGGTAATGGCATACCACCTGTTGAATTAATAATTTCATTATTGTCTCTTACCAGAAATATGATGGGCATCTTCCAATAGAAGTAAAAGCTGTTCCTGAGGGCTCTGTCATTCCCAGAGGAAATGTTCTCTTCACAGTGGAAAACACAGATCCAGAGTGTTACTGGCTTACAAATTGGATTGAGGTGAATTGTTTTGTTTTGTTTTGCTTTTCACTTTTACTTAACATTAATTGTAGATGTAAAAACCATTCAACTGGGATTCTAGTTTAAAAAATGCTACCAATAAAGTTATGTAACCTCCTAAAATTTACTAAACCTTTCCAGGCCTCAATTTCCTCACCTATAAAATGACAGTTGGACTAAATAATCTTTAAGTTTCCTTCCAGTAAAATCTAGTCTTCTGAGATCTTAAAATCAAATTGTAAAAAATTATTACTGTTAAAGCTCAGTTGGCCTCCATCTTATTTGTTGCAATCCTAAACATATACCATCATAGAGAAAGATTACAAAAACAGCACAGGTGTATTTTTAGTAACTTAAGACATTTTATGGCTGTTCTGTTCCAGTTAGATTAAAAGAATTTTGTTCAGCTTCTTAGTAACTGTTTTCTTTATTCTTACCTAATCAGTTTAGGGCCTAGACTCTACCACCTGGTATTTCTCATTTAAATATATTCAAGATTCACTGATGGTTTTAATTTCTAATCTCAAAAGGAGAGTACATTATAGACTGTGAGTTTATATTACAGGGCTTTGTTTGCTTTCCTGGTATCTGTACTTAAGCAATCATGTTTTCACAGCCTCATCACTTTGATATTAATAATCTAATTAGATTATCAATAGCTTAGATTTTTATCTATAAGAAGAAATATCCTAGGAAGTAACCGTAGAATAATGTCACCCCACTATCTGAGAGGTGTTTACTTAGTGCTTGGTACTTTTTGTCTTACTAATGTATTGGTTAAACTAATTTGTTCTATTATAAAATAATACATTTGAGGTTCATTTATAAAGACTGGAAAAAGTTTAGAAAAAGTAAGAGGTCAGGAATATTTTTGAAATACATTTTTGCTAAGTCGACAGGAAATTTAAAACTGTCTTTTAGACTCTGGGTGGGCCATCAATTTATAATAGCCTAACAGGCTCTGAAACAGTGAACAATTAACTAAAGTAAAGATTTAAAATAGTTTACTGCTATGTCTTAAAACTTTGAATTAACTCATGAACTCAGAGTAAAAGGAAACATATTATTAACAGTTCTCATGCTATTTTACTGGCAGATGTTTTATTTTGAGGGGAAGGCATTATAAAGAGTAGAAGAGCTCTGAACCGCATCATCTAGTGTATCCTTTACGCTCAGTGCCAAAAGGTCCCAAACAGATAAATCTTATTTTGAAAATCATCATTTGTGAATCACCTTGCTTCACTTTTTTTTCTTTTTAGTTTTCTGACTGAGGATTTAGTCAATAAGTACTCTTCCCCTGTGTTGAATTGGAGTTTCATAAAGCAGATGTTCAGCAGAGAACTAGTTCCAAGTCTGCCTTGCTTTTCATGTATGTTTTACTTTATCCTCTTAAGAAAGTGAAAAACACTAGCCTTAAAAAAAGTTTTTTTTTAACTACCTGTTTTAACAATCGTTATTTTGGTGTATTTCACTATAAAAAAACTGTAAAGTAAAAAAGTTTATATACGGCCATCTTAGCAGCAGTTTGTTAGCAAATATAAAAATATTTTTAGTTTAAAAATTATTAAACATAAAATCCAATATGAGACTGTTAGATTTTGAAGAAAAAAAATTCCCTGTTTTCATTTGCTTATTGAGTTTACCTCCTATTCTAATGTATATTATTTAAATAATTTCATTCCTTGGTAGGTATTTTTATCTAAGGCACAAAAATGTATGTTCTGAAACAATTCCTTTGTGATAGATCCTATGTTTTATAAAAAACTGTGTGTAATCTAAATACCGAGTCTCCAGAAGCCGCTTTCTCAGAGTCACTTTGCCTCTTTCATGGGTTTCTGTGTGGGGTTAGAGGAGGTTCATCTTCCTCTTATCCGTCTCCAGCCCAAGTTTACCACCTCATAAATGGAATCTGTTACCAAATCCAACAAACTTGTTATTTAAAAACTTGAGATTTTCTTCAGGAAATCCTTGATTTAAAACATTTTAAATAACAGTACTAAGTAGTATTCCTTCCAGTTCCCTTTGCCAGTATGTGTAAAGTGTGTGTGTGTGTGTGTGTGTGTGTGTGTGTGTGTGGTGTTTTTTTGTGGGTTTTTTTGGCCACACTGCGCAGCTTGTTGCATCTTAGTTCCTTGACCAGGGATTGAACCCGGGCAGTGAAAGCGCTGAGTCCTAATCATTGGACCGCCAGGGAATTCCCGGTGCAAAGTTATTAATAACATTCTTTGATTCACTGTACACTGAATTTTAAAATCCACTAAAATTATTGAACTGCTCTATCAATTTCAGTATCGGTGCTAGAAGAAACCTTAGCCCTCAAATCAGATTTCAAAACATGTTTAAGAGAGCCTAAGTGTTCTTCAGAGGTGTCTCAGACTTGTGAGGGGCTGAAGAATGAACATATTGGGCTAAACTTAACCATTTCTTCCAACCAAAAAAAACAAAACAATACCTTTTTGCTGTTAAAAAGAAGACTTTAAAAGTATTACATTGATCAAATGCCCTCATTTCACAGATGAGGAAATTGAGCCCTGAGAGGTGAACGGGCTAGATAACAGTGTAGGTCCAGTTCCCTTTCGACTATACCACACCATTTCTTGTTCTTTAAAATTCCTTATCCTGGACAGTAACGTTGTAATGAACACTTCTTAAATAAAACTTGCAGGTTCATTTACTTTAGTCTTAGTTTTCAGCTAAAAATTTTATCTTGATTTGTGTGGGCAAATTGCTGTTTTGCAGAAGTTTCCAACAAGGCCACTTTGTTAGACCTTGAATTAACCCAAACTAACTTGCCTTTTTTTCCCTTGCTTACACCTACAGTGATCTTTTTTAAAGGGGAGTGATTTTATTAAGAGTATAATTTAAGCTGATTTTGTTGGACTATGAAAAGGAAATGGTGATGTGAAGGATCACTGTGTCTCATAGTTATTTCTCTCCTTCCCTGGCATTTTTCGAGGGGTAAGGTCAATCTTCTACCTTTATAACTCAACTAGAGTTTTTCACATTATGTTTTCTATCTTTCTCATACTCCTAGATAATATCAGTCTAAGTTAAATTAAAAATGTGAGAGTTGACTGAATTAACTTTGGCAAATGAGTATTGATTACAGTTATATACCCAAAAAATGCTGGGCACAGAAATTAGAGTAAGTTATGTCTTACTTAAGGGCCTTTGGAGGAGGAGCAATTTATTCTTAACTGACCACTAATATAAGTAAGAATGCTGAATTGGTAGCAAAAATAGGGAATTCTGTCTAAGATATCATGAAGTGGAAAATAAGCTTTTAATAAGGGACAGGAAAAGGTGAGGTATTCTTAGAATGGCAAGTAGCCCAAGGGAGACTATAGCATAAAAGTGGAAAATACCATAAGGGATAAGTCTTTAGATGGTAAACAAGGCAAGTTTGTAAAAGCCCTCAAATTTCAACACGAATTGGCCGTCTTCCTCTGTGGACAATAGATAGCCATTAAAGGATTTTAAGGAATGGCAAAACCTGAATAAAACTCTTAACTTTAGAAGGATAACCAGTGCAGTATAAAGAGTAAGTCAGAGAAGCTAAAGATTAGAAGCAGGATAATCATGGGCACTGGCAGTGGAATCACTGCAATTACGAAAGAATAATTTCAGGAGCGGAATGCTTAGACAGAGGTGATTTGTCATAGAGTTCAAGTTAGGAGTTGCGTCAGTTTTCTACTGTTATGTAACAAACTACCCCAAAATAAAACAACTGCTATTTCTCATGATTCTGTGGTTGACTGGATGGTTCTCTGCTGGTCTTGCTTGGACTCATATGAGTCTGCGTTCAGCTGAGGGTTCAGCTCGGATAAAACAGTCTGACATGGCCTCACTCCCATGTCTGGGCCTCAGCTCAGGTAACTCATGACTTAGGCTTCTTTATAACACAGCAGTCTTGAGGTTCTAAGAAAATGAGAGTAGAAGCTATAAAACCTCTTGAAACAGAAGCTTGGAAGTCATAAATATGGCTTCTGCTACATTCTGTTGGTCAAAGGCAAATCAAAAGGACAGCTCGGAATCAAGGGATGAAGAGATAGATTCCATCTCTTGATGGGAGGAGCTGCGAAGAATTTGGAGCCATAGTTAATCAATCATAGGAATCCAATGCTGCAGTTTTTCTTAGGTGACTGAGTTGGGAAGTCCAAGGTTAAATAATCTGTTTGTTTGTTTTTACTTATTTTATTTATTCGTCACTTAGCTGGTATTCAGCAAAAGATTGTTTTGTAAAATTTAATTAAGGAAGTAAATAGCTTTTTGAGTGAGCACAGATGTTGTTGTCATCTTAGCAGCTCTTTCTAAAACAAATTTGAAGCTGCTTGTAATAGCAGACTATCTGGTTTACAAAATAAAAGATAGAAAATTATGATCCTAGAATGGAGGAGTGAATTCCTAAGCTATAATAATTAGTATAGTTGCTGTGATTAAGCATCAGACTTTCTTTGGAGTCTCCTGGCAGCCAAGGAAAAAAGGGAAAGCAAGGGACAGTTCTTAGCAGAAAGTAGGAACCCAGCAATTCTTTCATTTCCTCACTTGGGAACCTGTGTAATAGGAACTGAGTTACAAAATAGACAGCGACCTCACAAGTTTATAGCATATGCAGAAACGTTTCATGTGGCTCTCTTATAATGACTTTTGATAAAAGCCAAGGACATAAAGCATAGCTCAATGAATAGAATTGTCTAGTGCTACACAAAAATACCTCAAGTACATAACCTACCAGTAGTCATGTTAGATCCAAGGAAAAATTAGATCCAGTACTACCTAGAGGAGTAAATAAATAACTTATTTAGATGTAGACTATTTAAGATGTAGTCCAAGGACCAATGCTGGTGCATGAACAGATGCAGGTCCACGTTAAATACAGAAATCAAGGATAAGCGTTTAGAAACTTTGATGGCAATTGCCTCAACATGCAAGTGTGAGTATATTTTATAAAACTGTTGGTCCACAATAGATTGAAAATAAAAAAATACATTGGTCCTTCATCACAGATAGTCTCTCTAAATATTATTTGCTTCTTTGGAGCTTTGGATGGAAAATAGGTAATTTGACATTCTTTACTGTTAAGGACCGAGTTTGCTTATCCTCTGTGTTGCGGATTTGAGAGCTGAGCTCGGCACTGTATCTGAAATGCATGTGGTAGGCGTCCTGCCATACAGTTGAAATGTCCAATTGGTATTTCTAGTAGTATGGAAGTCCAGGACATACCTCCAGAGAAAGCTAGGATTTTCCTCAGAAAGAACCCAATTTTTTATGTATTAATGTTTGTGGTTGATTTTATTACTACAGACTATTCTTGTTCAGTCCTGGTATCCAATCACAGTGGCCACAAATTCTAGAGAGCAGAAGAAAATATTGGCCAAATATTTGTTAGAAACGTCTGGTAACTTAGATGGTCTGGAGTACAAGTTACATGATTTTGGCTACAGAGGAGTCTCTTCCCAAGAGGTAAGAAACTGAAGTGAACTTCAATTAATAAAATGTGGATGGTCGGTTAGGTTACGGTTACCACTGTAAAGTTTTTGGGAAGTTACTGGGATTGATTTGCTTCTAAGTAGGCCACATTTTGAAATTCCAGAGATTCAGTCAGAGATATACATTAAATACCTAAGATGTGTTAGCCTATTTTAGAAATACCTGAAATACAGCCTTCAGTAAACATCCTTGTCCTTTACGTATTGGATGGATGGATGGACAGATGGATAAACAGACAAAATAAATATTAGCAGATGTCAGATAATGCTACAGGGAAGCCAAGGCAGAGTAAGGGAAAAGGAGGTGATGGGAAGTGGGGATGGATCGCTATTAAATAGGTCTCTTTGAGGAGGTAACAGTTGAATCCTTAAATATTTAGGAAAAACTGGATCTTTGTCATAAGAAACTATTATCTCTGATAATAGTTAAATATCTCTTTAAGAATAACTGAAGACAATAATTGCTTTGGGGGCTATGCTCTATACCTCAAGTATGGGTCTTTTCTTTTTCTTTTTTTGGATTTTGGTTTATGGTTTATTTTCCAGACTGCTGGCATAGGAGCATCTGCTCATTTGGTTAACTTCAAAGGAACAGATACAGTAGCAGGAATTGCTTTAATTAAAAAATACTATGGAACGAAAGATCCTGTTCCAGGCTATTCTGTTCCAGCGGCAGAACACAGGTAAAATTCTGTTTTCATCCTCCTATTATCTAACCTTGGTTTTCTTTAACTAAATTTTTTCATTCTGGTAACTCAGTGATGTTTTGTTTAACTACAGAGCCAGGTAGTACAGTAAATCTTCATGAATTTAAGCAATACTAATTCAGTATTCATACTCTGTATGAAGACTGGTCTTGGGGAGGTAGAGAACTTGTAACTGTCCTAATAGAAACAATTTAGAAGCTTTTTTCCAACTCATATATATTGCTCTGTAGGTTTTATTTTAAGGATTTTTTTAGCTTCTCTATTGCCGTGTGCAGATAGGTTGTATTCATTAAGTCTAGAAGCCCTCACTGTGAAACCTGGTCACTGTTTTCCCTTTCCCTGCTTTCTACATGACTTCACTTATCTTTGTTCTGGAAGTTATCTTCTGAACCCAGTACCCTCAATTATAGATGAGCAAGTTAGCCCCTTTTTTTTTTTTTTTTTTGCGGTACGCGGGCCTCTCACTGCTGTGGCCTCTCCCGTTGCAGAGCACAGGCTCCGGACGCACAGGCTCAGCGGCCATGGCTCACGGGCCCAGCCGCTCCGCGGCATGTGGGATCTTCCCGGACCGGGGCACGAACCCGTGTCCCCTGCATCAGCAGGCGGACTCTCAACCACCACGGAAGCCCGCAAGTTAGCCCTTTTGTTGAAAGGAAGAGTGTTAGAGTCTTCTTACGCTTCCTTATCTGATTTTACTACATCTCAAGTTAAACTAGAAGACAATTATGATCTAGGCTATAGCTGCTCTGATCCTAGAGTTAATTTTATTGAAAGTTAGTGGAGTTTTTAAAATGTACGCCAAACCTTATTTCTGGTTCTTATAACAAAAATTATTTAATGTAATTAATTCGGGGCAGTTTATTAAATTCTACTCATACTTGAATATTGCAGGGTGTTAAAACCAGCAGTGAATAAAGCTGAGCTTTGATATCAGGCAGTCTACTGGATGCTACAAGGGATAGAAAGATATAAAGAATTAATCCTATCTTTTGGATTAAAAATAGTACACTAGCAGCGTTCTGCTCTGTTAAGTGCTTTTAAAGAGGTACAATTAAAGTGCTCTAGCAGTGCAAAGGAAGGAGAAGTAGGGTCATGTTCCACTGATAGGGTTGGATTAAGAAAGGTTTTATAGAGATGGTATGCAAATCTTGACTTCTTGAATGATTGGTAAAATTTAATGGCAGACATTAGGAGATTATTCATTCTCTAAGTATTTATTACATGCCTACCATGTGTTAAGCATTGTCCTGAAAGAGCAAGAATGAAAGAGGCAAATATGGATGTGTTTAGGGAATAAGAGCTGAAATGTATTTTGTAGGGACATTTTGTAGGGAATGTAGGGTAGAGTGGAAAGACAGGTTAGTAAACACCCTCAAATTTATTTTGATATTGAAGTGTTAACTATTTGCTCATCATGCTAGATGATTCTAATTCCATTTTCAAACGGGAGTGGGCATTGAAGTTTTTGAGCAAAGAAGTGATGTCATCAGAGAAATGCTGTCGAAAGAGTAATAATGGGCTATCTTATGAATTGAAAAATAGAAATGAAAAGTTAGGAGGATTTATAGGAAGCTGTTGCAATCATTTTGACAGATGATGAGGTTCAGATCCAAGTGGCTAAATAAATGGAAAGAAGGGGGTAAACATGAGCATTGGCTAGGGAGATGAAATTGCTGGAACGTGATGATTTGAATTGGGGCTCAGTAGAGGGTACATTCAGCTAACATATATTAGCATTGCTTTATTAGTAGGGACGTGAATACTTTCACATGTAAGTTTCAAGACTGGTGAATCTGGGAAAATAAGAGTGACATTAACAGACCAGGATTTTAGGGTTGCAGTATTTTTATTTTTGGTCTTAGATAAAACTTCTTGTAGTACCCATATATTAGACTCTTCATTGATGCTTTTGTTTCAAAGTAATAACATCATGAGTATGATACTATACATCTGAGAATAAAGGTGATATCTTCTTTAGGGCTTTATGTTAAAACAGGTTGAAAATCTATTGTATTTTTGTAGTCTTGTAATATTTACTACATCTGCAAATTTGACTCTTTAATGTGTCAGATGTTCTTAAGTAGACAAGTCGTTTAAACAACAGCAAAGTATAGTGAAAAGAACTGTAGACTTAAAGTTGGGAAATCTGAGTGACCTTACAGCTGACATACTGGGTGGCCTTGGGCAAGTCATTTATCTCTCTGTTCTTCAGTTCCTCCATCCAGGAGGAGCTAAAATTTTACATCTCCTACATCAGAAGGTCATTGAGGGAAAATGAATTAACATCCAAGATAACTTTAAAATAAGAAAACACTAAAATTTAGAACGTTGCCATTATTGTTATAAATATTTTCTTAAAGAATATATGAATCTGGACTTGAAAATATTCAATTACATAACTCTTCCTCAAACTTTGGAAAGGTATCAAATTAAATTAAGTAGAATTCATTGAACAAATATTTATGATCTCCATATACCAAATATTATACTAGATGTTATTATGATTAGATTATGTGGAGGGTGCTATGGGGAATGTCTGTGGGACGATGAGATGAAGAAACTCATTTTCCTCCCTAACAAAAATGGACCTGAAAAAAAAAAGAAAAAAAAAAAAAATGGATCTGTATTCCAGAAAAAAAAAAACCTGGGCTAAGGTACAGATTTTGGAAACTCTCACTACAAAGGTATTTTTTAAAAGCTTTGAGTGTTTTTCACATAGGGAGGTGTAGAGAGAGACCAGTGCCCCGGGTCACATTGAGAAAGGAGAGCATCTAGGGGAAACTGAAGAGGACCCACAGAAGTATGGGGAAAAAAATCAAAGCATGGGATATGTCATTGAAGTCATTGGGAAAGAAAGCTTCAGGAAAGTTCACATGCCAAAGAGAAAGCAAGTAAGATAAAGACTAAAAATGAACCATTAAGTTTGCTAGACGTGATACACACAAATAGCAGAGTTAGTTGACTGTATTGATACAATGCTAGTAAAAAATAAGTGCATAAACAGTGACCTCTTAACTCTTAAGAGTTTGTTCTTACATTGCAAAGCTCTCCAGTGTTGGTACTCTTTGAGCTTAATTCTCTCCCTTATAAAGGGGACCATAGCAATTCTTGATATGAAGAAGGGGCTTCTCTTTATCCATGTCTTAATTTTCCCTTTAGCCTGCAGATACTTGCATTAAGTGGAGAGTTGGCATCATAGCTACTTTGTTCACTGTAAAATGAGTTTTATATAAATATGCTATCTCTCCATTTCAGATGAGAGTAGTTCTGGGTAGCTAAGTCTTTACACCCCTGAAATGTGCATGCTCTGCTATCCGCAGCATAAGAAAAGTTGTTTACTTCAGGCCTTTAGAAAAAAAATAAGAATAAAACAACAATTTCAAAAATAAATTAGTATGACTTTTCAAACAGTTTTGAGATAATCTTATATCTGCATGGGGTTAAATGAATGGGTTGTTTTACTTTCCATCATTTTACTTCGGAAAATGGGGTAGAGGCAAAGACTAGCAAATTAGGGAGAAAGAAAAATTACTTGGCATGAGAAAATGGTAACAATTCTAAAATTCATTATGAAGTTTTCTTTAAGAATTTAAAAAAATTTTTATGTTATATATTGGTTAACCAGCAAGTACTTAGGTTACATGTCATGAATCTGTTCAAAAAGAACCACCATTATTGAGGACAGTGTAAAAATCACTATAATAATACTTGCCTAATAGAAACTCACACGCTTTATTTCCCATCTTAATTATGTTTTGCTGAAACTAAATATTATAATTCTTATTCCCGGAGCATATATTAAGTACTAGTGGATAATCTGTAAGTGAAATAAATGACTACCTGTTACTGGCCAACTGAAGATATAACAGGTAAAGAGTTAGTTTACTGTATCTATGCATGGTATAGTATAAATAATTGCCTAAGTAATTGCTTTTAAGTGTAAGATTTTGAAATGTAAGAAAGATAAAATGTGTCCCTTCTATTATTGGTATATGGTTTTGAAAATGCACAGAAGGGAGCCAAATGCTTTCATGGCCTAGCAGAATAATGGGAGTATGTGTTCATTCCTTCTAACATCTCAGTGTAACGTAGAAAGTGTCTGCAGCAGGTACTTCTTAGCTCACTCATTTTAAATGGGTAGGTTCAGGAGGTAGGTTCAGGAATACTAAAAAAGAAAATAATGTAGTTTATAGTTGGTTGAACATGACTTAAGAGTTTAAATAACTATTGGAGAGGAATGAGATTACTTATAGTCTTAAAAATTGGCCAAGGAGTGGTTTGGCTCAGATACTCAGTTAACCTTTTGATGTGCATTTATTAAACTAAATCACTCACCTTCTCTGCAGTGTTGAAGGTGTAGTATAGTAAACATGAGATATGATTCAGGAACATATAATGTGTCTGCCTAAGTAAATCTGTATTTTCATTTTGTTTTCTAGTACCATAACAGCTTGGGGGAAGGACCATGAAAAAGATGCTTTTGAACATATAGTAACACAATTTTCATCAGTGCCTGTATCTGTGGTCAGCGATAGCTATGACATTTATAATGCGTGTGAGAAAATCTGGGGTGAAGATCTAAGACACTTAATAGTATCAAGAAGTACAGAGGCACCACTAATAATCAGACCTGATTCTGGAAATCCTCTTGACACTGTATTAAAGGTAAATTTTAATACGTAAGTTGACTATTAAAGTGCCTATAGACCAGCTGCATCGACACTACTTTTAATTTCATTTATACACACACCATTTCAGAGCTCTCTGGACTAGTCCCCTTATTTTAGAGTTGCAACCCAGAGAGTAATAGATTTGCCCAAGGTCACACATTAATAACAGAGAAAGGATATCCAGAGTTATGGATTATTTATATACTGTCAAAGAAAGAGTTAAGTACTGTTGAATAGATATTTTCTTTTCTTTTTACCTTCAAAATTAATTAATAGTGTTAACATTTTAACCAGTCCTGTGATTTGGTTACCAAGTTTGTGGGTTCTTTCTTTTTCCTTTATCATTGCTGTACCTTTGAAGGTTTTAGTGCAGAAGAAATATGTGCAATGTAATGTGGAATAAAAATAATTTGGAAATAGTTTTCAAGTAGAGATTCTTTACAGATACTGTTGATTCTTCATATAGCCTTGTTGCATTTTTTTTAGTGTTTAGGACTTGGTTTACCTTCTTTGAAAAGCACTAATAAGAGCAGGTTATTGATGCTTACTACTAGAAAAATATAGTGCTATGTGTGCTTTGCTTTAGCTGTGTCATTATTTAATGTCTATGAAAATCCTATGATCAATATTACAATCTCTTTTTTATAGACAAAGAGACCAGCTTAGAGAGGTTAAAATAAACTTGCTCAAGGTCACATGACATGTAAAATAAGCCAAGTATCCAACGTAGGTCTTTGTGGCCATCACCTTCCCGCTTTACCACACTGTTTCCCAGTTGATGATTAGGTGATGAATTACCCCTTAAGAAAGTGGGGTGTAGAATCAAGGAGGTCTTTTCCTATCCTGTTAATAGGCCATCTGAAGGTCTGATCTTAGCCTGAAATATGAACAGATTTGGTTTTAGCAAACTGAACAGGTTGCATGTTTTTCCTGTTACCTAATAAAAATATCCAAACCTAGTTTCAAGAATCAACAAAGTTATCAGTATGGAATGTTTTCATTGTTAGAACAGTTTATTTAGGAAAAGGGAGTGATTGTTGGGTAGATCTTTGGAATCTCTGACCAAGCTTTCTGAGAAATTTTCAGTCAGTGTTGAGGTATTTCAGCTGCTCCCAAACTTGCAGTAGTTAATGAATAAGTGGGACAACTTGGCATATTAAGCAATTTGGTTTTAAAAATGGGTGTCATTGTTAGGTGAGAAGCACCTCAGAGAAACTATGGGTTTTATATGCTTCATTTCCAGCTTTATCTGCGTATCATGATTTCTTTGAACTTTGTAATTCAGGTGGATTCGTGTCAGACAAATTAAATTATTTATGTCAGACAAATTAAATTATTGGGCACAAGCAGAAAAAAATCCAAATCAAAAGTATAATCATGTTTTTTAAATGATGTTTTATATACCTTTGAAAAATATTATATTTACCACTGTAAGCTCCTAATGTTAAAGGGTTTTTTTTCCCTGAATCTAATTTGAAAAATGTGAGGGAGGGAAAACTACTTGTGTTCTGAGCCACTTTACAGTATAAGTTGACTTGGTAGAAAATTGCATGCCTGTTTCTAACATAATCAAAAGGAATTGAGACAAAATTTTAGAAGGCTTATACATAGTATTGTAAAATTTAATTTAATTTTTATGTTCTCGACCTTGCTTTGCTAACAATCTTGGTTTTTTTTTTAAACTTTGGAAAGCTTTAACACTTTTTTTTCAGTATTAGTTATTTTGTGTTTGGCTGTGTATTTTTCCATACAGGTTTTGGATATTTTAGGTAAGAAGTTCCCTGTTACTGAGAACTCAAAGGGCTACAAGTTGCTGCCACCTTATCTTAGAGTTATTCAAGGGGATGGAGTGGATATTAATACCTTACAAGAGGTACGGATTTTATATTAAAAGTTTCAATAAAGCAATCCTTATAATTAAACTCCTTTTTATTAGTTTGATAAAGAACACATTAATAATTTAAGTACAGCTGTGATTCTTTTAATAAGTGTTTAAGATGGTTTATGTCTTTTCTGTTAATTGCTTAAAATTTAAAATATAGAAGTATATTTAAAATATATTAACTTAAAATACAGAAGTACCGGCCAAACCATACTGCCAGTCCTCATTGGCTGCCCTGGATGATGAGCCCAAAGAAGTGTCACTAGGAAACAAGACAATGCCAGTCAAGGAATATTTTTTGTATATACAACAAAAAGTCTTGACACTGTACAAATAGGTCTCAGTTTTAATAGAATGGAGCTTCATATTACTCTAACAGTGTGAAACTTGAATGATATTCATCTGTGCTTTTTCAAAAATTATTGAATGGTTTGTCACCTCTTCTAAATTTAACATTGTTACCACTATTAGCCAAATAGCGTACGTTTTATGCTATCTTAAAACTTTTTCCTCTTTTGTTTCTCGGATAAGCTTCTAAGGAACTCAATTTTTATGGAGTATTTTGGGTATTAAAGACTATCAGCGATACCACGCTGTAGACTGTCAGCTACTATAAAGCACTGAAATTTTAATGTATATAGTTTCAGATGGAATTTTCTGTTTGAAAGAGTTCAGTGTGGTTAGATTAAGGTCAGTACCCAAATTATAAATAGTTTGTTTTCCAAAGATTCATTTAGAAGTAAGAACTATTGGGACCTCCCCAGCAGTCCAGTGCTTACGACTCCATGCTTCCACTGCAGGGGCCAACGGTTCCACCCCTGGTCGGGGACATTGCACATGCCGCACAGAGTGGCCAAAAACAAAAAAAAATTAAACTAAATAAATAAAAGAACTATTGCATATCACTATCAGTACTTCTGTGGCGATATGCATTTAGAGTTTGAAAATGATGTCTGGAATAGATGTCTTGCAATAACAGAAATGAGGTTTCTTCTACCAACTCTCCCAAACTGCCTTGCCTAAGAAAAGTGGAAACTTCCCCAGCTCTTCTAAGGCTTTGATGTGAAAAGGAAGGAAGTAACAGAAGAAAAATCTGCAGCAAGGAAGAGGACCTGAGCATAGAAATCTCAGCTGGCATGTTTAATTGCAGTTGTCCTGTCGCTCAGCTGAATTGAAGGTTTCTGACCTTGGTATCAGTTAAGAACTAGTACGCATACCTCCATTGTAGCGGGTACCCTCACACATACTTATCCCCCTTGCAGATGAAGAAATGTGGGCAGGGTACTGTATATCAGAATACGCATTAGCCCAGTGCGCTTCCCGTTGCTTATACCTACCCTTACTTGTTCTTAGGGGCAGCTCTTTAAGTTCGGTTGTTCCATCAGGTATTTGAACTTCCCAAGCTCTTTGGCTTTCCTTTTTTTCTTTTTGTTTTCTTTTTGTTTTTCTAAATAAACTTTGAAAATGTGTATGCATTTTTAAAGTTGAGAATCAGTTCAGAACTTGAACTTTTTTTTTTTTAAACTCCATGATCAAGAAGTTAAATATTGAGACAGATATTCTCTGGCATTGGTGAAACCTTAAACAGAATGGTCAGAGAATGAATAGTTGGTATTAATGCGGATGCGCTCATTACCTAAAGGGGGTAGTACCTGCTACCTGCTTTCTTCATACTGGAGGTGGGTCAAAGTAAGTCTTTAGAAGCAAGAAAAGGAAATTCATATAGCATTTTTGCTATGTCTAGTCAGATTTCCTTCTGATTTGTATGTGCAAATATTTTTAAACAGTAATTTTTACTCTAATTCCATAATTTCCTGTAACATTAATAGAAAAATTCACTTAAACTTTAAATTGTCTAAATTTCACAACTTTGGGCAAAGCTATATGGGAAGAATATCTTATTGGTCCTAAAATACAGAGATATGACATTAGGTGATACTGTTCTTTGCGATTTACTCCTTCTTGTGCTTCTGAGGCTTACCTAACATCAGGTGACAGTTCTGAAACTATTTTCTCTATATATTTTACCCAAATCTCCTTACCCTCCATCTTTATCTGTTTCCATTTCTTCTCCCCCATTTTTTTGTTCTACTCCTTGTATTTCTTCAGTATTGAAATGCACTTTTTAGAACATGGCTTAATTTTGTGTTGTCTTATAAGGTTTTTATTATTATTTTAGTTATACTTAGTATACTTAGTTTACAGTTAGTTCAGTGAAAAATAAATCTGAATTCAGGGCCCTTGAGTACTTTTGGGTTCAGGTATAGTAATAAAAGACATGAGACTGGGTTTATGTACAACCTAAGGAATCACTTTAAAATAAATTGTATATGTTTCCATCTTGATTCCTGACATATACCAGGAGAATTAGATGGCTGAGATTTTTTTTTTAAGTGTGGGTTTGTTAAAAGATGAAGGTCCTTGGAGTTTATCTATTTGTGTCTTGCAAGGTTGAAAATAAGGATAGATAAAATAAAAGGTCAGTTTGAGACTTTTGGTATTGGGAGGAATATGGCAAATTTATATTAACGATTCACTTAAAACTATTAAACTTGCTTACGATTTTCTGATCACTTCTGAAAGTTCTGTTTAAATAAAATGAAACGGGACTTTCCAGTTACTTCCTTTCGACTATTCTTATGAAATTAAAAATGGTTATTAAATTTTATTTGCCACCTTCTACCATAAAAGTGATGGAATATGTTAAATAAGAAGACAGATGCTAGGTAAATAAGTCCTGCTTAGGAAAAAGAAATACAAATGATATTGATAATAATGTAGATTAATAAATTATTGTAACTTTTAAATTATGTGTCCCTTGAAAGAACTATTCTAGTTGCTGGAACTCTCTGTTCATATAGGTCTCTCTTTCTGGCTTTTAGATGATCATTCTCCCAAAAATGATCCAATGATAAATCTTAACACCCAGTCAGTTCTAATTTTGCTTACGGCACTGGAGTACCAGCCAGAGTAAGATGACTGCCAGTGTCTCAACTGTTACGCAGGAGAGGGTGTTTTATACTGTTTTACCACCAATATCCGTTGACTTTTAAATGCCCCATTACATATGACATGTGATAACATGTATTGAGATTTATTAGTGATGAGGAGTGTCATTTCTAGAATCTAGTAATTTGGGGCAAACATCCAGGCCCATTGCTTGTGCTACTGACATCTGGGCAGTAACTGCAAGAGGTAGATGAGAGAGGTAGATGAGAGTTTACTCAAGTAACCTTAGGTATTTATAGCTATTATTTTTCTCCCTCTCATTTCCTCTGTTCCCCCAACCTAAACCACAATCACTGTGACTACAACACAAATTCAGGAACTTTGAATGAAATCCCCTCCTTCTACACTTATCCCTTGGGCTGCCCTTTTTTGGGGTTGGTGGGTCTTTTAAAAGAAAAGAGTGGAATGTAACTTTGTGTAAACCTTATTCTTATCTCATTATTTACTGTGTTATAAAACAGCTTTGGATGGTTTATTCATCAATATGGCTCATGGATAATTAGCTCCTTCCTCTTCCAAATTACTTGGCTTAAATTTATTTATTTATATCTTATTTTTAATCTAGATTGTGGAAGGCATGAAGCAAAAAAAATGGAGCATAGAAAATGTTTCCTTTGGTTCTGGTGGAGCTTTGCTACAGAAGTTAACAAGAGATCTCCTGAATTGTTCCTTTAAATGTAGTTATGTTGTAACCAATGGCCTTGGGGTATGTCATTGAACTTTTACTCTTGTGTTGTTAATATTTATGTATGTATGTTGAATGTACTTATTGAACACAATAGTCCAAGGATAATATGGTCCTGAACTGTTACTGTATTGTCAGGTACCCCTGACCTTGAGGCAGAAACAAAGAAGGAAAAGAGACAGGGGGTGATAACTTGACTTCAGAAAAAAATGGAGATTTGGGAAAATGAGAGATTATTTAAGAGAGATGATGCAGGTCAATTCATTTCCACTACTTCAGTATATACCTTTGAATCAAAAAGTTGACCATATTTGAACGAGAATGTCAGCTAACCTAGCCATCACGTATGTAAACACTGTCAAAGAATGTTTTAGGAAGGTGAACTATGACGTGTGAGTTGTGTTACTAGAATCATGTTCTGGTAGCCTTAAAACAAGGGAACCCAAGCTGCAAGCAGCTGAACAACAGTCTCCCTAGCTCTTCATAAACTCTTGAGAGTCTGTGTATTAAAGGGTGTGTGTAGGGGATCCTAAGAACACAGGGGTTGGTTCCCTACCTTAGTTCACCACCATCTTTCTTTGGCGAGTTCTGGGATTGCCTCTTCTGCTTCTCTTCTTATAGCCATCTCCAGTTGCTTCTTCCTTTCTGATCCTGAAACATTGTGCTCTAGGTCCTCTAGGTCTTCTTTGCTTCTGAGAGTAACAAGGTAATAGAATAAAAAGTAACAAAAGGGAAAAGGTTATGAAATAGGAAAGGCTTTATCGTAGTAAACTCCTCGTTCCCTTGCCACAGATTATATAATTGAGTTGACATAGATTGATTTTTCAGTAACACACATGTGCTGTACTTAGATCAGTTTAAGGGCAAGGCATAATACAAAAGGAGATACCTTAAGGGTCACATTGTTAACCTCAAAGACTTACTACAGATGGAGTATTAGTATTCTACACTGGTAAGAAAGGATATCCAAGATTTGGATTTTGTTCATACCTTCTTCATCACAGAGGACTCTGTCCTCCAAAACAGGCTAGAGTCTTGTCTCTAAAAGCCAGGTGTGGATTGGTTTAATTATACGTACAAAGTGCCTTAAACTTTATATAAATTAGGTACACACTTTTTTTTTTTTTTTTAATGGGGGTTGAGTGAACATTTGTGATGATTAGTCTTGTATTTCTTCAACTTTCTTAATTTGGATTCCAGATTAATGTCTTCAAGGACCCGGTTGCTGATCCCAACAAAAGGTCCAAAAAGGGCCGATTATCTTTACATAGGACACCAGCAGGGAATTTTGTTACACTTGAGGAAGGAAAAGGAGACCTTGAAGAATATGGTCATGTATGTATCTATGCTGATTTGGGTTTTTTTTTTTTGGTTTGGTTTGGTTTTTAAACAGTAGTAGGTTGACTCTTCAAATTAAGAAAGGAAGCTTTTATGTTTTATTTAAAGTGTTTACAGTTGCTGACCTAGCCTTCCAAAATACGATGAAAAACAAGAAATGGCTAGATAGTAAATATGAGACTTTTACATACATTGGGTGAAATATTTCGTAACATTCCAAAAAAAATTATGGTTTTTCTACATAGTGATCAGCAGGGAGTGATTGATGAGCTTCAGTGAGTTTGCATATATTTGATCTTACTCTCATTGCCAATTAGCAGTGAATCGTTTCTGAACGGGAATAGTTTAGACTGCTCATAGCTATTTATGTTATAGTAAAACTTTGGTAATTTTATTAGATAAAAGAAGGGCTATCCAAATTCTAAAATGTTGTTAAAGGCAATTCCCTTTTTCAAAACAATAGAATCCAGTTCAGATGGTTTTCTTTAGTCTCATTTGATTCTCCCAGCAGCTCTAATGACTAAAAAAGGCAAGTTACGTTATCTTAGTAGTGTAAGATGTGAAAACAGTGAGACTTGATTCAGATTATATAACTAATAAATGGTGAAACCTAGACTTAACCAAGTTTTCTGATTTTAGTCAACCAAACTAGAAACATGTATAGTTTGCTAAAGTAGTCTCTATGCTCGTTAGCATACAAAAGTACACTTATATTCCTGAACTCAATAGTTATAAAATTTGTTTTTAAGCCACCAGATTGAAAAAGAAAATACTCTTTTTTAGAGGAAAATTACCTATGAATATTCATATTCTCAGAGGAGGGTTTACACAAAACATAAATACACTTATTACTTTAGATGTTTTTAACTTTTGATCCTTTATACCACATCACATATTTTGCTTATGTTACTTTTATTATATTCTTTTAAGATTTTGAGCCAGAATTAATACAATATGATTTTTCTATTTAATGAAAAATATGTATAAGTCCCTAAAACTTTCAGAATTAGATTCCTTTATATAGCCTGTTACGCAGTTCTTTGCATAGCCTTCACTTAACTCTTGTACTGCCAAGACTTTAAGAGTATGTGAATGATACTCGAGAACATTTGAGTCACTAATCAATTTATGATCATCTAGACCTTTTGATTTAATAGGAACCACCTTTCCTCAATAGATTAAAGTTAAATTTATAAAGAAAATGTCACAGCAAGAGCAGTGTGATTTGAAGCAACACAAGGACAGATAAGATTGTTTCAAGATGGTGGAGTGGGAAGACCCTGAGCTCACCTCCTCTCACGGGCACACCAAAATTACAGCTATTTACAGAGCAAATACTGACGAGGAAGACCAGAATCTACCAGAAAAGATCTGCAACTAAAGCTATAAGGAAGGAACTATGACGAGGCAGGTGAGAGGGGCAGAGTCAGAGTATAGTCAAGACCCACACCTGCAAGTGGGCAACCCATCAACAGGAGAAGAATATAATTTCAGAGGTTCTTCCAAAGAAGTGAGGGGTCTGAGCTCCACCTCAGCCTCTCCAGCCTGGGGCAGGTCCTGCACCAGGAAGATAAGCCAGCAGGGCTTATTTCGGGACACCCAGGGGGCTGTGGGAAATAGAGACTCTACTCTTAAAGGGCACACACAAACTTACGCATGCTTTGAGACGCAGGGCAGAAGCAGTAGTCTGAAAGGAGCCTGAGTCAGACCCAGTAGCTGACCTTGGAGACACCTTGGGCCCCTCAGCTAGCTGCTCTTGGATCCAGCCCCACTCACTAGCAAGCCAACACAAGCTTCAGGACACCCTGGACCCCACAGCCAGCTGTTAGCAACTGACCCTACCTACCAGCAGTCTGACACCAGCCCTCAGGACTTGGCTCTGCTCAGCAGTGGGCTGACACTAGCCCCGGGACCCCCCCAGGGTTCCACAGCTAGCAGCCTTATAACTCAGCCCCACCAACCAGCCGCAAGCAGTCTACACACAAGGCCTGGCAACCAACGAGACTGGGGGCCAGCCGCATCTACCAGACTGCCTGCTGTAGTCAGTCTTCCACAACAGAAGGACCCAAGCAACCCGCATAGGAGGAGCCCTAGAGCAGCATATAGCTCTGGTGACCAGAAGGGATTCACTGCTGGGACACAGAGGAGTTCTACAAAAGGCAACTTCTCAAAGGTCAGAAAACATAACCAGCCTACCACGTACAAGAGTTCAAGATAATGATCTTAAAAATGATCAAAGAACTCATGAAAAGACAGGCTAACCAGAGTGAGAGTATAGAAGTTTGTAACAAAAAGTCAGAAAATATAAAGAACCAGAGATTAAGAATACAATAACTGAAATTAAAAATATACTAGAAGGAATCAACGGATGAAATGATACAGAGGAATGGATCAGTGAACTGGAAGACAAAGTAATGGAAATCACTTAAGCTAAAGAGAATAAGGAATTAAAAAAAATGAGAACAGTTT